GAACATTTTCTTTTGGTCTTATGTACACACGAGCAAGTGGATAGGATTTGGTTGTATTGATTCGTCACACAATGTGGACATAGATGATGGTAAGAGTACAACTGGTCATATTTTCTATATTGATCAAAGTTCTGTGACATGGTGCTTACAAAAGCAAGAGATCATCGGTCTTTCATCATGTGAAGCCGAGTTCATGGCAGCTACAGAAGTGGCAAAGAAAGCAATTTGGCTTCAAAAACTTTTGTCTGAGATTACTGGTGAAGAAAGTAGGAAGGTGACCATACGATTTGATAACAGGTCGGCCATTACACTCACAATGAATCCAGTATTTCTTGGCCAAAGTAAACATGTTCATAGGAGATTTCATTTCATACGAGAGTGTGTTGAATATGAATAAGTATAAGTTGAACATGTTCCGGGAAGTGACCAAAAGGCTGAAATTTTGACTAACTCACTTGGAAGAATCAAATTCAAAGAGATGAGAGATCTCATATGAGTTCAAAACGTGGATGAAAATGAATTCAAGCTTAAGGGGGAGAATATTGAAGTAAGCTTGATCGCTTGAGAGTCAAGCAACCTAAACCTATTGAGTAATGGAAAATATCCAAATATGCTATACCTAATGATTTTAGGAAATTGAGTTTTATATATAAGGAGATGCAAGGGTGTTGCATAACTTATAAGTTTATGAGATTATGTGAAAGCTTAAGGTTTTGAGTTATTTCTTTAAGAGATTAATAAGAAGAGTTTCTTATTTTGGCTTACAATCTTATGTTCTTGAGACTTTGATATCGAGTTGTTTGGTTCTTTAAGATTATTGGTTAACATAAATCGAAAGTTATAATAGCAAATTCATTGAGTTCTAAGAAGAGTTTCTCAAATAAAATAATAAAAATAAAAATAATGAAAAAAAAGAAGAGAGAAGAAAGAAAAGGTTTTCTAGTAAGAAATTTTAGGAATCCTATGAAACTTTATTTACTTTTCTATTAGTTAATCTCTTATTTCAAAATTAAAATTCAATCATATATAATTTATATTCAAATATTAATAACTTGTTTTAGGGAAAATTGTCAAATATGACTCACAACTTGATTTCAATTGCAAAAGTAAATCCAAACTTGAATCAAATACAAAAGTAATCTAAAAGGCTATTGAAATTACAACCAGCCCCTTGTGAACAAACAAACAAAAAGAATTTTTTTACCTTTCTAAACCCCGCAATTATTCTGTCCAGACGACTTTCAAGTAAGTCGTCTAGTATAGTTCTTCGTAAAAATAATTTAAAATTTTTTTAAAAAAATATTTTGATAAGTGAAAAAATTAAATTATGTAATTAACATATGTTTTAAGAGATATAAATTAAGATATAACAAAATTTAATTGCTTTCAACATAGATGAGTGAAAGTAGTGAGTCATGATATTCTTTGGTTTAGGTTTTGCCAACATATGTTGTAGTATTCTATGTGTTCTTAGGGTTAGATTTTGGAAAGAATAAATGTTTTTTTGAAAAATTTAAAATTTACCTCAGTGTGTTTATTTATGTGTACTGTAAACATTATTTAAATATAATTTGATTTTATAGCGTGGTTAGTTAGTTAATTTAGTCAATTTAGTTTAGGGTCAAGGGTTTAGGGTCTGGACGACTTACTATTAAGTCGTCTAGTGAATATATTTATGGTAGACGACTTACTAGTAAGTCGTCTGATGTATGGTATTCAACAGACGACTTACTAGTAAGTCGTCCAGATCGAATCGAACCTTTAATTTTACCAATGTACTTTTAAACCTAATCGGATTATTTAGTAGAAATCTTTAAGATGTTTTTTTATTATTCACTTTTTTGTGAATTTCAGAAAACTCTAACGCAGTTTCTCTCAAAGAAGATTTCGAAGGCGATTTCCGTCGTTTCTCTCTAATCCATCATTCTCACCGCCAGTTATCTCTCTTCCATTATCACTGTTCTCACCGCCGCTTCCTCTATTTTAGATCTGAGATGAAACCCTAGCATCGTTTCTCTGTAAACCCTAGTGATGTTTCGCGTCTCGTTCGCACCGTCGGTTCTCTGTAAACCCTAGCGTCGTTTCTCTCAGAGGCGTTTTGTTGAACTCTGCCGCCGGTAAATTATCTCTTACTGTCGAGTGATTGATTGAGGAAAAGATGAACATAAAACATTTTCTTTATCACTTTATGATTTAAGGTGTATATGTACTCGTTCTCACTGTCGTTCTCACCGCACTTCTTTTTCACGTCTATTTTTCAGATCTACAACCGATGTGTTGAAGGCGACTATATCTTCTCTGAATTTCCAGGTTGACTTTAATTGATACACAAAGTTGTACTCCATGCGTTTTGGGTATCTCGAGCAAGTTTTGAACTTATCTATCACTTGTAATATGAATAGGAGGGGTGTCTGGAGCCATATGGTGCATCATTTCTGCTGGTAATGAGTAGGTTATCTCCACAGATTTTGTGCTCATGTCCATGTTATAATCTTCTTGAGCCATTGCAACAAGTTCAGCATGTGTCGAACCTTCACTAAAAAAAACATTTTTGCTCCTTTGAAATTATCAACCACAAAATCCCAACATCAATCTTTCAACAGTCATTCTCCATACACTGCATGTAACTGACGCATCATCTCCAAAAATCCAAAATAAAAAATATTAGTAAACATAGAGAAAATGAAAGTTTACTAAACATTGACGCATATAACATACCAGTAAGTCGTCTGGAAGACTTAGAAGACTTATGTGTAAGTCGTCCAAACAGGTCATTTATGCAATTGACTTTTAAATGGGAAGACTTACTTGTAAGTCGTCCAACTTTGTTTGTTAAAAAAAAAAATTCTAGACGACTTATCAATAAGTCGTCTACGATAAACGGGTTAGTTTTGCATTTGACTAAATTGTGTCAGATATTTTACTTTTCCTGGACGACGTACTAGTAAGTCGTCTCTCGAAAAAAAAAATTTCAATATTTTATTATAGCTAGACGACTTATTTGTAAGTCGTCTCAGGTTAGTTTGCAATTCGATAATAAAACTTAAATATTTAACTTTTCCCAGACGACTTAGTTTAAAGTCGTCCAGTTAGACGACTTACGAGAAAGTCGTCCAGTTAGACGACTTACGAGAAAGTCGTCCGAGATAAGCAAGGTTTGACCAGGATCTCGAAAAAAATCTGGACGACTTTGCTTATCCTAGACGACTTTCAAGTAAGTCGGACGACTTTCAAGTAAGTCAGACGACTTTCAAGCAAATCGTCTAACTGGACGACTTCCGTGAAAGTCATCTGGAAAGGTTAAATATTTAAGTTTTATTTTCCAATTGCAAAACTAACTTGAGACGACTTATAGATAAGTTGTCTAGCTTTAATAAAATATTAAAAAATTTGTTTTTCCCAGAGACGACTTACTAGTAAGTCGTCTAGGGAAAGTCAAATATCTGACACAATTCGGTCAAATGCAAAACTAACTCGTTTATCCTAGACAACTTAAGATGCAAAATCCTAATTATGAGTGCTTTTCTGATTAATTTTTTAAAAAAACAAACCAATCGCGCGCCGCCACATGTCAGTGGTGTACGCAAACAGTACAAACATCCGTGCTTAATTAGGCTGTAAAAGCACCGGTGCTTAAAAATTTTGTGGGACCCACCCATTACTATTAGTTTTTTGTTAAACACCTTCTCCTAAGCACTTAAGGTTAACGGTGCTCTTAGAACATCGTTATCCCAACATCCCATTTGGAGGTGTTCTTTTTTCTAACTAAAGAACAATTTTAAAAAGAACTAATCGCGAGCCGATACATGTCGGTAGGATCCGCGAACAGTACAAGTAACAAAAAAAAATGTGACGCTTATTTTGCAACTGGATACAACGACGCTTATGGTTTTGGTGGGATCCAAAAAGCTAAGCATCTTTTTTTATAAGGGATAAAAATGCTCTTAAAACATCATTCGTGATGATATCTTTAAATGGGTCTCTACATAATTATGCTATTGATATCCAAGATCAATATAATCGTGTAATTAAAATTTATTTTGTTAAAACAAGTTAAGCCAATTAAGAAAGGACAGGTAGAGAATTCTTTGAACAATCATTTCTTTCCGAAGAACAATTCTGAGCTTTTTTTACATTTTCTCTCTCACTTTTTTGGTTCTTTATTATTTCTTTTGGTAAGAACTATGGTGAGAGACCTATCACTGGGACTGCCCTTAGAGAGTTTTTTATTGATAAAATTGCTCTAATATATCAGCATCATCATTTCTTAGGAGCATGCACACATGTTTCTCAAAGAGTATCTTAAGAGCAAGTAGAGAAATATAGAAACTTAAGTGCTCATTTCTGATATTTCCAGAACTCCATCATATATCCATATGCCAAATGTTTTTATGATGAATGGTCACTTTAAAAAAAAGACTTAAAACTTTATCTAGAACAACAATATTATTTTTTCAAGTTTTCTTTTCTTTTTGAAGCGTTGGACATCCTCTTAAATTCTTAATCCCATGGAAATGTCCATGTAAAATACTTTTATATTTTCAAGACATTCAGTTGAGGTGCTCTTAAAGGCCTTCAGACATCCCTCAAGATCTGGTTGAGCAGTACTTGAGTAAGACCAAATCACTGCGACAACATGAACCATGAACATAAAAGTAGTCCTCATTGTCTTAGATTTTTTTTTATTATTTATTGAATTTGGGCACTCTGTATCTCTATCAGTTTCGATCTTTAGATGCATCCAAGCGGTGGGTAGCGAGAAAGATCACGAATTACACTAAGACACTGACTCTTCTTATTGTTCAAAGACAGATTAAGTACTGACTTCCCTTAGATGAAGACATTGATTCTCTTATTGGAACCACACGTTCATATATATAACTTTATTCGATCATATCATTTAAATTACTCCCATCAAATGTTCATAGACGACACTTTTATTCGATCATGCAACCACAAGTTAACAAGATGACATAGAACAAGTCTACAAGACATTGATATTACGTAACCTGGCAGTTGTTCCGTACGAAAGTGAGATTATACGGTGGCGTATCGGTCGCAAGCCATTGCTCCACATCGAAGTATTGATGTTCACTCTTAAAATGAACTCTGACCGTAGTGACATCCACGTAGTTAACAAACCAGGCGGGGTAATCGCCGGAGCCGTCAGAGGTCAGAGTCAATGAACAGATTGGGCTCGGAAGACACTGCGCCTTACCACTGAAAATGTCCAAATTGCCCCTCTCGAAGTAGTCGTAACTTTGTCCCATTAACCCACCCCATGTCTCTATGTTTTGGATATCAATGTCATGTCCCGATTTGTCAGAGATTTTAACGCTTATGATCGAATCTGTTCCGGCACCCTCCACCGGTCCGGTTTCGATGTAGAATGTGTAGACGCAGTGTGGTTCCTGGTCCTGCCAAATTATGAAAAATAGTAAAAGGAAGGGGACATTATAAGTTTATAACATAATTAATATATGTATGAATACTAGTCTAGTTTGTGTTTAAAAAAAAAATACTAGTCTAGTCTAGTGCAGACGGTTTAGAAAAGTCATAGTTTAGGGGTCATGATGAGACTTAGGGAACTTACGGCGAATGCAACGTCGAGAGAGATGGTGATGATGACGAGGAGGGAGAGGAGGAGAGCGTCACGGCCAGCCATAGTTGGTGATATGAATGTAAGAAATGGAGAACTGATATGTCCCAACTATTAATATAGTTTGAGACTTAGGTAGGTATTGGAGATGAAAAGCATCTCATGCATGAGTGGATGAACTGCAAATTCATTTCCCAGTCAGCATTAAATTTATTAAAAAGTGAATATAAGATTACAAAGGAAATGAGGGGTAGCATGTGAAGCTGACGTGGGAAGTTTTGGTCCGTCATATGCCCTACGATTTTGGACAATCCTAAAATGCATAAACAAAAGTTTGTTACTTTTCTTTAGTTTTTTCCCAATTTACGGGAAACATGCAAAGTAATATGCATAATAGAAAATGCATGTTGCAAAGTAGTTACGCTAATTTTCTATCTAATTATTTTAAAGAAATCTATCTATACTATTATTTGCGAAGTGATTTTTCGCAACGGAACTCTCACGTTAAAAATTGGAGTGGTTAATATCGTTTATATCCTTAATGAATAAATATATATAAATCAGCTAAAAATAAAAAAGAAATTGATACTTATTTGATTAGATAAATGATTTAAATTAATGATAATGATAAGAATTATCCATAATCTAAATATATATTTAAATATAAAATAAAAAGATAATCTTATATATATTGTGTTGTTATCCGGAAAATATATTTTTGATAAAAAAAAATTCAAAAACAGAAAACTGAAAAAGTATAATACGTAATTATTTTCAAATTAAAATAATATAATGATATATATTCGTGAAGTTATTTTTCTTTCTAACATATATTTAAGTTAAGCGAAGTGATTTTTCGCAACGGAACTCTCACGTTAAAAATTGGAGTGGTTAATATCGTTTATATCCTTAATGAATAAATATATATAAATCAGCTAAAAATAAAAAACAAATTGATACTTATTTGATTAGATAAATGATTTAAATTAATGATAATGATAAGAATTATCCATAATCTAAATATATATTTAAATATAAAATAAAAAGATAATCTTATATATATTGTGTTGTTATCCGGAAAATATATTTTTGATAAAAAAATTCAAAAACAGAAAATTGAAAAAGTATAATACGTAATTATTTTCAAATTAAAATAATATAATGATATATATTCGTGAAGTTATTTTTCTTTCTAACATATATTTAAGTTAAAAATAAATTCAAATATATTGTATTATTATCAAAACTAATTTTATTCTTTCTATAAGACCAATTTTTGAATCTATATTTATCGATTCAATTTTTCAAATTGAGAGATAGATTTCTATATTTTTTATCAATTAAGAATAAATGAAATAGACTTTAGAGTTTTCAAATTTTAAAGGAAAACATAGATTTGTTTTTAATTTGTGAATAACTTTATCAATGTAAAAAAAGTTTAATGTTTTAGGTCGAATTGTTTGGATGCAAATGATCGTATATTTTGATGATTTCTTAAATTGACTTAAATATAATTAAGCCCGCATGTGCGGGCAAAACACCTAGTAGAATATAAACATCTACATGTGATCCGTGTAATTATTATCTTGATGAAACATAATTTAAACAATAAACTGTTTTACAAAAAAAAAAAAGTAAATATAGAGAAAATGACTGAAAAATCAAAAAGTTAATGAACAAAAGACAAAAATATTGGGGGTTGGATGGGGGGCAGATGAATGGATTTAGCAAATAAATATGAATAAGATAATAGCAATGAGTTTAGTATTACAAATCGTGAAGAATAGTTTTATTCTGAAAGAAAAGATTTATAAGAAGATTTCTTGTCGATAGAGTTTTTCTTAATGATACTTGTACAGAAGTTTTCATCAAGAAAGAGACTGTGTTTCAAAAAAAAAAAAAAAAAAAAAAAAAGACTAGTTCTGAGCTTTTACTAGTCAGAACTCCCTCAGTTTCTTGGCGGCTAGGTAAGAAATGCGTACGACTAACTTTGATAGAGCGCTAGGCCTTGTAAAGTATTTACAGCAAGAGCTTGTTGGGCATCTTGTTCAATTGTTGCAAGATGTGCAAGATGATGAATATGCTATATTGTTATAGTTTACTGCATTCTTTAGTTATTTTTGATACTTTTCCGGCAGAGCGATGTTCACATGATTAATATGATGTTCTATGGAAATGAATGGAAATGTTCGGATAGGTTTTATTAGTCAGATTTCTCGACTTGCTAAAGGTGCCATTGTGAAGAAAAAACTAAAACTGAAACTAAGATAATGTGACACACCAGAAGATGGATAAATGAAGCTACACAAAAATACAAATGAGGACAACAAAATGTTACAAATGAATTGAATCACTAACAAACAGTAAGAAAGATGATTAAAATAGTTGTAAATCACCAAAACATTACATTACAACACAAACTATACACAGTAGCATTACAATAATCAAAACGAAAACAGAAAAAAAAATTGGCCAAAAAAAACTAGTTTTGATTGAAGAACTCTCGCTCTCAAAAAGAAATATAAAGTATAAAATGAAGAGGCGTTTTTACTTGTTAGACCACTGGAATTCGATTTCAAGGTTTCTGGGACCACTTTTGCTCTCTGGTAACAAACTGTATTCACCTGCAACTGCTCCCAGCATTACCACCCTATCGATTTGGATCGTTACTTTCCCGAATGAACTCTGCAAAAACAAAAACAGAGCCCATAAGCCACTGATTCAGATAGATTGCAAACTTTGAAACTGTTGAATTGGAGTTAACTTTGACGGATATATATAATACCTTTCCCATTTTGCTCTTGTTTTTGCATGAAATGTGGAGTTTTTGACCTTTGGGAGGGCTCTCAAATGACCATGAGAAACTCTCGTCCCACTCTGGATTTGGACCGGTCGATATTACCTGAAATAATGGAACGATACAGTTAGTAAGTATCTCGTCACAGTACGCTTAAGAAAAGGTGATGAGTTATTTCTTACCTTGGTTTGTCTAGGAGGAGTGTTACCGAGTGTTATCTTACAAAACACGCTCGGGTTACCAACAGATTGCTTCATGTTGTTACCGCGTTTGATCGTGACCACTAGAGTACCTGGCAAACACTGCAAGAGGAATTCAGCTTTCTCCTGGAACCGCGGCGGACCTGATTGGATCAGGTACTGAAGTAAAGGGATGGCGTCTGCAGCAGCAACTGATTGGGCCCTTGAAACTTCGGCCGGACACGCTGACCAAGCTTGTCTGAGAAGAAACAACGCATCCAAGGCAGCTTCTTGAGTCGCCTCTGACCCTGTCTTGAGGGATGTAACTAGATGCGGTATACTTAGTGTTGCAGGCTCGGTGGCTCTTAGACGCGGGAAGTTGTTAAACAAAGAGTTTAAAGCTTTTAGATACTCGTCATTCACGGTCCCAGTGGCCCATAAGTCCTTCTCAATAGCAGCTGCAAATTAGAAAGGAAGTGATGATATATAAGATGAACAATAAGAAACAATCAAAACGATAAAGAAGGAAGGGAGATTTTTGCTCACCAGTTATTGCTCTGACGGTCTCGCTAGATGCATACTCTTGCACGGTGTGATTAGAGAAAAGTAGTTTTACGAACATTGCAGCCTGAACAGATGTATCCGGGTCACTGGAACTGATCAGATCTAAGACGACTTGGACACCACCTGCCTCGGCAACTGCTCTTTTGTTGGACCGGCTATGCATTACAAGGTTCTGCAGAGCACATATAGCCACTACTTTCATTTCTTCTGTGGGTTGTTCTTCAAGGACATTGACCAAAGCACGACAAGCAGAAGCTGCATCGGTGCTTCTAGCGAGTGTCTCGTTTTGGAAAAGATCACCTAGAGCCAAAGTTGCCAGTAATCGCGCCTGCTGAGCTTGGGTCTGTGGATCCAAGAGGTACTGGGACAAGGGTAATATTGCAGTCTTGGTGGCTTTTGAGTTTCTAATCTTCACGTTGTTGAGAAGTACCTCGAGCAGTCTCGCTGCTGTGTCCTCGCACTGATGAGACCTCAGGAGATCAAGAAGAGCTTCTATGGCTCCGCTTTCAGCCATGGATTCAGCACTGGTTCCATCGTCACTTTCCAACACTAGAAGAGTGTTAAGTGCACCAACAACTGTATTTTCAGATGCAGAGCGTAGCAGTCTTACGAGAACGGCAACAGGAACTTCCAGGTAAAACTCGGAGCTAAATTGCAAGATGATTACCAAAATTGATGCTGCGGACTCCCATAAAACATTCGAAAGCGATGGATCAGCTTGCAGTATCACCTTGGACAGCTCACTCACACCACCTTCTTTAGCTATTTCATTTGGCCATGTTAGAGCAATGCTAACGAGAGCTTTCACAGCTCTCTGCTGCAATAGGTGTATGCCAGATCCAAGAACATGGATTAAGGGACCAATCACAAGTTGTGTTAATGAATCCTTCTGCAGATGCTCCTCGAAGAGCAGATGAGACAGAAGTTCAGCTGCCAATTGCTGTACTGCTGGTGATGTAGAATCCAGCAGTGGGATTAGCGGCTCAATCACTTGGTGAGGTGAAAGTGTATAATCAGCTCGGCATTGTGGATGTTCTAAGATGTTTACTAGAACTTGCAGCGCACTGTGCTGCCCGTCAGGTCCAAACTCCAACCTCGTCAACAAATTGAACAGAGGCTCCACCACTTTTGCAGCAGATTGGCCCTTGGCAATAGTAGCGTTATTTGTAAGGATGCGAAGTAGTTCTGAAAATGCAGCGCAAAGAAAATCCGGAGCTTCATGGAGAATATCAAGTACGCAATCAATAACGCCAGCTTTCACCATTTCCAGCTTACATGCAGGCCTGTCCTTACCTAGCTTTACCAGAGCCCTTGATATAGCCTCATGAAGCACATAGTTTCTACCATAAAGTAGGCCAACAAGAGGAACCACAGCACCATGAGCCGCAACTAATTCAGCCAGTTGTTCATCATCGACAAGCTTGTCCAGCGCCCGCACGACTGAATGCTGTGCAGGGCTGAATTCACTCACAAGGAGCGAGACGAGAGGCTCAACACAACGCGCTGCAGCAACTGTAGACCTAATC